CTAAAACTCATTGATGTGTTTTATAGGTGTGCTTGAAGGCATCGAGTGTACTTTGGTACCTTGATAGCGGATGCTCCAAGCACATGACCGGGGATGCATCCAAGTTTCTCCAAATCAAACCCGCTAAAGGAGGAAACGTAGTTTTTGGAGACAATAGCAAGGGAAAAATTATCGGCGTTGGTTCAGTAGGTAAATCTGATAACTCCTCTATAGATAATGTCTTGCTTGTTAAAGGTCTTAGACACAATCTCTTAAGCATAAGTCAATTATGTGACAAGGGAAACCGTGTGACCTTCGATTCAAAATCATGCACGGTAGAACGCCTTAGTGATAATAAGGTCATTCTACGTGGTGATAGAATCGTTAACATATATATGGTTAACTTAGACAAATCTCCTTCCGGCTTTGCTAAGTGCCTCATGAGTAAAGAGGAAGACACTTGGTTATGGCACCGAAGGGTAGCTCATATGAAAATGAACCTTTTGAACAAATTGGTTTCACAAGACTTAGTAATTGGCATTCCAAAACTTAAGTTTGAAAAAGACGCCATATGTGATGCATGTCAAAAGGGGAAGCAAGTCCGCGCTTCGTTTAAGTCTAAGAACGTTGTTTCAACGTCTAGACCGCTTCAACTTTTGCACATGGATCTCTTTGGTCCTTCTAGAACGAAAAGCTTTGGTGGCAATTACTTTGTGTTTGTGATTGTCGATGACTACTCTAGGTTTACATGGACCTTGTTTCTTACTCATAAAAGTGAAGCATTTCATGTTTTCAAAAATTTTCAAAAGAAAGTTCAAAATGAAAAAGAAACAACCATAGTAGCCATAAGAAGCGACCATGGGGGAGAGTTCGAACGAAATCTATTCTCAGATTTGTGTGACGAACTTGGCATTGATCATAACTTCTCAGCCCCACGTACACCACAACAAAATGGAGTGGTGGAACGTAAGAATAGATGTCTCGAAGAGATGGCTAGAACTATGATCAATGAGGCAAAAACCCCTAAGTATTTTTGGGCGGATGCCGTGAGTACCGCGAGCTACGTGTTAAACCGAGCCGTCATTCGACCGATACTCATGAAAACGCCCTATGAGCTATACAAAGGGAGAAAGCCAAATCTTTCCCATCTTCGAGTCTTTGGTTGCAAATGTTTTATTCATAATAACGGCAAAGATAACTTGGGAAAATTTGATGCCAAGTCGGACGAAGGGATTTTTCTTGGCTATTCTCTTCGCAGCAAGGCCTATAGAGTATTTAATAAACGTACTTTGACTATTGAGGAGTCCCCTCATATTGTATTTTCCGAAGATAATACTCGCTTGGCGAGAAAGGCTATTTGTGATGATCTTGCAGATTCATTAGAGAGAGTACACCTTGAAGACGATGAAGAAGACACACCATTATACACCAACCCGCAACCACAACCTGAGGAAACACCTCAAGTGATGGTCGAAAGTGAAGACCAAGCAGACGAAGAAGAACAAGAGGAAGCCCAGGAACAAGAGGAAACCGAGCTTCCCATCGCTTGGAGAACGCACA